AACTGAAAAGGACCTTGGAGGTCTTCTAGTCCATCTAGCTCAAGCAGGAGAAACTACAATCTCAAACAAGTGAGACTGTCCAGTCTCTTCTTAAGTCACCTCCAGTGATGGAGCTCCCACAATTTCTGGAGACAAGCTGTTCCACTGGTTAAATTGTCCTCACTGTCAGGAAGTTTCTCTTCAATTCCAGGTTGCTTTTCTCTTTGATTAGTTTCCAACCATTATTTCTTGTCCTGCCCTCTGGTACTTTGGAGAATAATTTGATCCCCTCTTGTTTATAATAGCCCCTCAAATACTAGAATACTATCATGTCAACCCCTAATTCTTTTCTTTAGACTAGCCAGACCCAAAACCTGCAGCCCTTCTTTGTATGCTTTAGTCTCCAGACCTTTGATCATCTTAGTTGCTCTTCTCTGAACATTTTTTCCAAAGAATTTGTCTCTGATGCAGAATCGCTGTGTCCATGCAAAGCAACAGAGTAATAATAATAATACCAATAAAAGGGGTGTGGTAAAGAAGGTAAGGATAATAGTTATACAACATATCCCTATGTTTTCATCAGAAAAATGCTAGACAAGCTGGACTGTACAATGTACCTGCAAGACATAATAAGTCCCTCTAGGAGATAAGCGCATGCATACATTTGATTAATAAGTGACGTCACGCAAGCAACCGTGCAAAAAAAAAAATCACCTCGCAGTCAGAAAAACATATGCCATACAATTGGTATGCCATACATACAAGGAACTCGGCTTTCTATTCCCTTCACCCAAAGGGGGCGCAACTATCCCCAGGAAAGAGCGGTCGCCTTCCAAGGAAGAGTTTTTGTCCCCGCCCGGCTCCCATCCTCTAGTCTTTTCAGGTCCAATTGAGCCCCTTCAAACAAGATGGCGGCTTCCGCGGAGCATCCTTTGCCTGAGCCTGCCAAGCCCTTACTCGGGCTCCTAAATGGTATCGCTCAGGCCACCTTTTACGGCAACACGGAGATCACGGAGGAGTTGCTGCGGGAGCAGCTTTACCCGGAAACGGCGTCGCAGGAATTTGGAGTCCTGCTAGCTAAAATGAAAGGAATCGTCAAGGTAACGGAGGCGGGACTGGCAGGTGACCGGAGTGGAGCAGAGCGGTGCAAACGGGGCGGGGGGGGGAGGCGCAGCGAGGCTGGTCTTGTATCTGGGCACGAAATCGCTGAATAACGTCTTTCCCAAGCCCGCCCTTTTCAAAGGCACGCGAATTTAAGCACCCTTTTCCTGCATTTCAGAGTGGGGGGGAAGAGATCGGACCAGTCAGCAATCCGATGCTCACAGCAACTGCGGGTGAGAGGCAGGATCGGGATAGATTTCTCTTCCCAAATCCAGCACCAGTTAGGCCACTGCTATAAAGCGGTTCTGGTTAGGAATGCTGATAGCTGTAGCAACGCTTCTAGAGAGCTCAAGCTTAGGGGTGCCCACCTTGAAGAAAAGAATGCCTTCTCGGGCTTTATTTCTCTTCTGGAAAGGAGGAAATTTATTTATTCATTTTTATTTTTTTATGTATTTGTCGAGTATGTATAAGATAACAGATATAAGTATAAACATGAAATGGATACAAATAAATGGGAACATTAGAACAGGGACAGTAGGCACGCTGGTGCACTTATGCACTCCCCTTATAGATCCTCTTAGGCAGTGTTCCTCAACCTTGGTGACTTTAAGTCCTGTGGACTTCAACTCCCAGAACTGGCTGGGGGATTCTGGGAGTTGAAGTCCACAGGACTTAAAGTCGCCAAGGTTAAGAAACACTGCTCTTAGGAATGGGGTGAGTTCAAATCCCTGAACTTCAATCCCTGTTATCCTCCAAATGCAGCCAGAGGAGTAAAAGTAGCTTTTCCTGCTCAGAGCAACTGCCTCCTCTTCTTCTCACTTATTTGCATTTATATCTACAGCTTGCTCACTTGTCAAGGCCAGGCCTCCTCCTGCCATGCTCAAAGAGCTCCTGCAGGGTTTTCCTTACTGGGGCTGGTTCAGATCTGACCAGGACTCTCTAACACTCTTGCTCAAGGCATGACCTGACCAGAGGAAATGCCATTTACATCATTTCACTCTCTTCTCCCCAAGGGCTCTGTGTGTTGGAGTCATTTCTCCCTGCCACATTGTTCTTAGAAAGAGGGAGAAGTCGCAGTTGCTTCCATGCATTGATCTCCCATGTTGGCACTGACTGATCTCAATTGTCAAGAATTTCCTATGTTTGTTCCTTGGTCGGTGCAATCTTGGATTTTAAAGCTTGTAACATCTTTTTCTAACTCAAAGCTAGAGTTTGAAATGCATGCAGTTTTTCTTGGAATTTGAAATATCTAAGTCAAGTTTCAACATTTTTTGCTTTAAGAATGTGCAGTGATACTTTGAAATTGCACAAAAGGGATTTCTGCCGGGAATGCAGTTTTGAAAGAAGGTTCTTTTAGCCCCGAATAAAGTATTTTTCCAATTTTAGTGAGCTGTTTTCAGGTGTTTAAAATAGTCTTGAGAAAACTCCCAAAAAATTAAAATACACATTTGGAGAGAATTATAGAGGTTTTCCCAAGCATATTGTATGTAAAAAGTCTGTATCTTTTTTCCGCCATCAATAGAAGAACTGCTATAAAAGCACTGGTAGTCCTACACTTACAACCACAATTGAGATTACAACCACAATTGAGAATGGAACTTCTTTCTAAATGGTGTGGTTGTTAAATGAGCCTTAACATGATTTTATTACTTTTTTGCTGCGGTCGTTAAATGAATCTGGTTCCCCCCTCCAATGACTTTGCTTGTTGGAAGTCCCCTGGGAAGGTTTACAAAAGGCAATTATGCTATAAATGTTGTTGATATTTATGATATGACATGATAGTTTAATGTATAAATATACATATTTTGGTAATTTTGGTTAAACATTGTTGAAGCCCAACAAGCATAACGTTTAAACTAAGACATAGTGTTGAATACATAGTGTGAATTGAGGCCAACGTTTGTAAGAAACCATGAATCTAACCAGTATGTATCTCTAAGCTTGATTTGAAACGAAACACCTTCAAGGGATTTTATTACCCTTTGCATAATTGCAAAGAAATCATAGATAATTTTACAGAATTATTTTGATATGTTATAGGAAATAACAACAGAAATTCAAATAAAGAACTATCTTTAATGTAGTTATGTTTTTCATTTTTTAATTGCTTTTAATTTAATTTTAATTTTATTTATATGTAATTAGATAGCATGTGCGTGTGTGTGTTTGAGTGTGTGCAATGTATTTCAGACCATTTCTGTCTGAAGTTTATATACCATAAAACCCTACATACATTTTTTTAAAGGTTTTTATTAGATAAACATTAAAAATGTTGGACATAGTGCGACATTTCTGGCATAGTCATTTCCAAAAAAAACCTCTCCATACATTTTGTCCTGGTTTTATTCTTAGACATATGTCATTTAGTTATAACTTGCAGTACAAATTAGCAATAATACAATCCATACAAAACTAAGAAAAAAGTAACAATTTTAGTGAAAGGGATCACAATTTGAGGTAATAAAATGTTTTGATTCATTTTTGTTTAAAGATTTCATGCGAGAACCTTCATTCAGATCTTTTTGCTTGAATAAAAGGAACATGAGAATTAAAAGCAAACTATAATAATTTGCAAGACTTAAATACTTAATTTCTGAATGTTGCAGTTCTTATGTAAATAGAAATATAGATCAGTTTCTAACTATTGTGGTGCCAAAATGATTAAATATACATTGTAATGTCATAATATAAGCTCCACTGTTTCATGTTTGTATTGTAATGTTGTAACATAAATACCATCTATATATACCATATTTGCATGCAACCTGGTTGCCTCTATGCAAATAATAGATAATGCCTGTCACCTTGAATATGGAGCAAACCAGCTGATGGTATTTGTGCCTTCCCATAGTGGGTTAGGCTGTGCCTCTGAACATCGAATTGCCCTTTATTCTCCTTTGGGTAAAGAGAAATAAGGTTATCCATGGAAATAATAATTTTCCTTTTCTACTTGATTGCTGGCTGTTTCATTGAATAAGGCAGTTTATTGAAAAAATCATATTTAGGTAATGAGGACCTTGTTCAAATTTCAGAACAATATTTCATAAATAAAATAACAAATTTATACTGAGTTTGAACACTTGCATGGTGTGATTCAGTTTAAGTACTGTAGATCAGGGCTATGCAACTCACTGCCCACAGGCCAGAATCATCACACGCTTGGTACACTCACACCTGGTTTAGCAAAGGGAGAGAAGTCCTGATACGTCACTTAACGATGCTGTGATGATGCGAGTTTGACACCCCTGCTGTAGATTTTTTTAAAAAACTTAAATAATTAGTATTTGGGATTGTTTCACTTTCATCCTCTAGATGGCAATGTAATATACAATATCAGCTTTGGTGCATGTTTAATGTTGTCTTTCCAGTTCTCTTTTTCAAAACTGGTATTTGAAATTGACTGACACTGCTGGTACAGTGTGATTTAGCATATGACCTCTCCACTAATAGCTGTGACACATTAAATAATAAAACAACCTTCTTTAAAATGCAAGACATATACTGTACAAGGTGTATTACCAGTTTTTTTATCTTCCAGTTTGATCTTTTCAATCACAAGACTGGTTTCAACAAATGAAACACAGTTGTTAAAGGCTTGGTATTTGCACAATACCAAAAGCTTGGGGTTAAGAAAGGTCTTTGTTTCTGCAGCATATCAAAATATAATTAATGAAAGCCAAATAATTGCAGTTAAGCAGTGTTTGTGAAGCAAATAGAGTGTAAAATAAATAATCTATTATGTGGGCAAGACTGAAAATATGAAGTTAGACAATTTTGTAGATATATTTTATGTTGTATATAATGAAAATTTTCTGAAAATGTTTTAAGATGGATCATACAGTACAATATTATGTTTGCAGATAATAGGCAATAATAGTGGCAATTATTATTCCTACGTATTTTCCCCACATCCCTACTATAAATAAAAACCTACTATGAGGATCTTATAAGAAGCAGTCATATGATAGTAGTAGAAAGAAGTCTGTATAAATATCTTTAAGTTTAACAATACACACACACACACACACACATACATACAGGAAATAAGGCATGACTCAAAAGAATGCATACATCTGTCTGCATGTGCTTTTTAAGGGAGAAGTTTATTTTTAAAAGTTTGGTAAGGTAATAGTTACAGCTGGTTGTACATTGCAATTCACAATATAGACCCGAATTACTTCTCACAATAGTAGAATTACAGTATCTTATTCCTGTGGAAAATATGGTATATGTATGCATGAACTTTCTTAGCAAGTTGAATTACAGTACCACCTAATTCTACAGTTTGTTAGGATATTGTGTAATATTTGCTCATTCTTGATGTTCTCTTCTTTGACCTTTCTTTTTAAGGTGATTTTTCTGCAGATCCAGTCCCTAAGGCAATTAATTATTCATATACTACAAACTTTCTACCATTGTATAAAATTATACTCAATGGATAACCAAAGAAATCAATGAAGGTGAAAGAAAAAATTCCAAATAGCATATGGGAGAGAAAATGGAATAGAATAGTCAGAAATTAAGAGAAACATAAAAGCAAGAAAGAAGTCTACTCAGACTGTACCCAAATACATCATTTCCTGATTTAATTTGGAACTTTGTTTTAAAATATCCAAAACTATAAATATTAAGGAGAATCTGTGAAATTACAAATGTTAAACAAAAGCATTTTACCCACCATAATCCTACAGATCTCTCAATTTGAGAACTTTCTTCTCTGCATTAGTTTTTTTTCCTAAATAAAAATGCCAAACAAAACAAACCCTTTGTAGTTTTCAGCCTTTTGATCATTTCTGCAATTCATTTGGCATTTTCTAGTACTTTGGTCGTTGGTCAACTTGTGCTTCTAAACTGTAATATTTGCAATAGGAGAAGTAAAACATGTGACTGCATCCTGAAAGAATCAGTTCTGATTTCTTTCTGTTTCTCATTTTTACTTTGTTCCTTTCCTAATTCACTTATATATATTTGTCTTTTACAGACATCTTTGCAACAGTGC